GCCCACCCACCTGCCCCTCCCCCACTCTCATCTACACTAGGACTATTTTGATTGAACCAGCAAAATCACTCATTTTCCAGCCCCGGGGGAGTCAGGTCCCTCTAACGAAGACAGGAATCTGCTCCCAGGGGGCCAGGAGCTCTAAGACCCGCCCCACCTCCGCTGGAGCTCCGGTTTGGGGAGCCCCACTGTTCAAAGACAGAAGGAGGGGCACGCCTAGGTAGCTCAGTTGGTGAAGCATCCGACTTCGGCTCAGGTCATGATCTCACGCTTGGTGAGTTCGAGCCCCAAATCTGGCTCTGTGCTGTCAGCGAAGAGCCTGCTTGGGATCCTCTGTCCCCCGCTCTCTCTGCCCCTCCCCAGCTTGTTCTCTCTCTCTTAAAGTTTATTTATTTTGAGAGAGAGGAGGGCCTGGGGATGGCCACCTCCATTCTCCACTTCTAGCCATTCCAGAAAGTGTCCAGCCTCCTGGGTGAGGACGAGGCACCAGAGGGAGGAGTCAGGCAGATCCGTTCTAAGTTAGGACATTCCTAAAATCTTCATGGACACATGGGAACATAAAACCAGAGATGATTCCTGCATTGAGAAAAATCCGTCCTAAGCACTGTTGAGTCGGGGTTCTAGGCCTACAATTGCTGCCCCAGGGCTCCCAGGCTCGGGGTGTCAAGGGCTGGGCGTGAGGGAGAGCTCTTTATACATTAAGGAGCTAATCCCTTGTCTTCTGGATAGGTTGTAAAAATGTCCACTGAAGAGTTTTAAGCCGTAGAGCCAGTCATCAGATTTGTTCTTTTTTTTTTTTTAGGTTTATTTATTTTGAAAGAAAAAGTGGGGAAGGAACAGAGAGAGGGAGGGAGAGAGAGAGAGAGAGAGAGAGAGAGAGAATCCCTAGGAGGCTCCCCACCACCAGCCCAGAGCCCGACTTGGGATTCGAACCCACAAACCACAAGATCATGACCTGAGCCAAAGTCAGATGCTCTACCAACTGAGCCACCCAGGCACCCCCAGATTTGTTCTTCTGACCACAAAACAGAGAATGTTTTGGTGAAAAGCAGGAGCAGAGGCAGAAGGGCAGCATGGGAAGCTGTTCCAGTCACCCAAAACACGGCAGGGAACATGGCCAGGGTTTTGTGGCGAGTGGGCACCCACACAGAGGCCGGGCCTGCCCGAGGCTGCTGCTCAGAAGAACAGGATCCAGCCCTTAGTGCCCAGGATCCGGGCCATGTCCCCGTGAGCCTGAGGGCTCATCACCGAAGCCTGAGAACAGAGAGAGTGAGCCCAAGGGTAAGGGAGTCTGTTTGGGGTGACTTCAGCATGTCCCTTCCTAGCTGGGTTCTCTCGAGGAAGGAAGATCTCAGAGATGTTTCTCGGCCTCTCAGGGGTCAGAGGTCCTTTCCTGCTCAGGTGTAGCGGTGGGTGGTTGCCTGCAAGTTTCTTATGAGCTGGAGAGGGTTAGGGTGTTTCCATGAAAAGGGTCATTTCAAGACCCAAGCTGTGGCCAGAGGAATAGCAGAAATTAAGACACCTCCCTGTCCAGCCCCCACCCCCAGCACCTTGCATTCTTTTCTGCAGAAGTCTAAAAAGATAGAAATGCCGCGATCGTCCCAAAGAGACCCTGTACTGGTCTCAAGGTGCCCATCCCAGAAGCCCTGTGGGTTAGGGTCTCACTGGTGCCCAAGGGGTCAGCCACCTTTAGAGAAATGGACAGAGCGCAACAGGCCTTCTCCAAGAGCGAGGGAGAGGGAGGGCCAGCCCTGGCATGGGCTTGTTAATCATATAACTGTGTTTTACCTTTTAGCATTTACCAGTATGTCCTCTGAATTCATGCCCCTAGCCCCTGGGGGCTTACTCGAATCCTAGAGGATATTACCCGGCACCCCTCCCCCACAGGGGGTCTGTCAGACAGATGGAGAAGGCTTGTCACTGTAGGTCATAAATTCCCAGGCTCCCTGGGCAGACAAGGTCCTTGAGGCCACCCCACCTGCGGATACGGTGGTCTTCTTCCCCTGCTCCCCCCACCCCAACGTTTTTGAGCAGTGCACATCATTTCCCATGAAATCTGATCCCTAGTCCTAATACATAAAACCAATAAAGGCAGCCTTTTACGAACAGAGCACCCCACATCCCCCACCAATAATCTCTTCCCCGAATCAAAATCTTCTCCATCTTATGCAGACACAGCTTCAAGCCTTACTTGCAGCCAGACTCTCTTCAGCCTCCTGCAGAGACGTGCCAGGGGACCAACCATCATTGCCCCCCGATTTACCATATTGCCTTAAAGTAAATCAGCAAGAAAAAAGAACTCATCCTCAGTGACATGAAAGCATGCAATGGATGTTGGTTGCACTGGTCTGTGGGAGACGGGGCCTCTAACCGGCTTTGGCCGGTCATGTCCAGAAAACTCTGGAATGCGTACATAAGTAGTTGCGAATGGCAACAATTCTTTTATTATTTTTTTTCCCTTCGAAGTTGATTTATTTTGAGAGGGGTGGGGGAGGGGCAGAGAGAGAGAGAGAGAGAGAGAGAGAGAGAGAGAGAAGCCAAGCAGGCTCCCCACTTCACGGGGCTCAAACCCACGAACCTTGACATCATGACCTGAGCCGAAAGCAAGAGTCGGATTCTTAAGTGACCGGGCCACCTGGGCGCCCCCATAACAGTTCTTTTCAACTGCTCACCTTGAGCCCCTGGAACACTCTTCGGTGACCCAGGAGAAGCCCGAGTGACGATGGAGCAGTGCTCGTGTTAAAATTTGAGTAGAGAGCATGTCTGAGAGTGTCTGTTGTCTTTGCTACAGCTTTCAGAATAGTTTAAAATATTTTTTTTTTAAGTGATGTTAGAATCAAACGTTTAAAGAAGCCCTGAAGCATCTCTACCAAATATGGTGGCTCGGATGTCTCGTTTTCACACGTGAGGAGGAGACTCAGAGTCAGGGAGAGGGGTTGATGGGCCAAGTTCTCCCAGTGGGTGGTTGTCTGGCTCACAGCCCGGACGGAGCTCGGTAATCCTCTGCTCTATCAGAGCATCACTGATATTCCTGGCCCAGGATCCCCATCAGACCCACCCCCCACCGCCAGCCCTACTACCCCACCCCCCCATCCCTCTTCCTCCCCACCCCCTC